GGAGCGGGGAGGAGGCTCGGTGGGCGCTGGTGACACCCCGGAGCAGGCCGCAGCGCGCTGCACCTGGCTTGTTGGATGCTCAGCTGTGGCCAGTTATCAATTTATCTTCTTAATCAAGTTCTTTTTTGCCTTAGTTGTGATCTTTGAGACGTTGGTCCCTTTCCCCGTGACATGTAGGTGGCGGTGTCATCTTCTAAGTGTCCGGGCTGGTGCCCGCCGTTTCCTTGACTCGCCCTCTCCAGAGCAGTTTCCTCGCAGCCCAGCACAGCCCTGGGGCAGGGCCCATCTCCAGAGCACGTCTGTCACACGGCTCCAGCGCTCACCTCTTGAGATGGCGAGTTAGCCGTCACACGCTGGCAGTGGTTGGCTTTTGGAGGCCCTGGGCACCAGCCGTGGTAAACGTTGCGCCAGCTAGCCTGGTTCTTCTGCACAAGTGTACATGTCGTGTTAGGTGAGCGACATCTTGATAACCGTCAAGGAAATGGATGTAGTCGGTGGAGGCGTTTTCCTGTTTCAGAGTGTGAGAAATGCCAGAAGATCCGTAGAGTGCCACAGGTCGTTCTGCATCTGCCCCTCTTGCCCGGTCCTTCCTTGGTGCGAGCATCTCGCCGTCCTCTTGTAGCTGGAGGGACCATACTGAGGCCAGATCTTGTTGCTTTGATTATGAGCAGGAGATTTTTTTTGCTTCTCCCCTGCCTCAAGTGAATGCTCTGTGTGAGGCATTAACATTTTCAAACACACATTAAAAGAGCACTTAGCGATGCTCAGCCAGTTGGATCACTCAATTGGTTGAACAAAGCTAACCCTGTAATTTTGCATACAGGGTGTCTTGCACATGAATGAGAATGAGGAGAGAGTGTGGTATGATGTGTTCTCCGTGCTGGACTGCACCCTTCCTGTGTCCTGGAGAAGATGGATATGAAAGATGGCAATAACCACAGTGAAATTATTTTCTCTGTTTAGCCATTCTAAGGTGTTTACATATTTATGCAGCTCATACATATAGCAAGAGGCCAAAGTGCCTCTGAGTTGCAGGTTACCTCCTTTGATCTGTAAGCATGCAGGGAGTGAAGGCATTCCAGCTTTACCGAGTCCTCACCCAGAGGACTACGCTTCTCATGAGACCCTCGTGAATCTGTGGAAGGGCTTGGATGGGCTGGGTTTGTCTCGCGCTTTGTGCGGGTTCTCTAAAATAAAGAGACAGGGAAGAAAGTGCGAACATAGGCAATGTTCATTCAAAAAGAAAAAAGAATTCAGCATAATAAACTTTTGTCCCTGTATTGCTGATGAGCCCTGTGTTCCCACACCTGTGTGTGGAGAAGTCCAGAGTGCCAAGTGGGAGTTGGTCAGTTTGTGTAACACCTCCCTTCCTTCTGCAGAGGTTAACCTGATGGGGGGAGAGCACCTCTGGCTGTGAGGAAGTCACAGGATGGTTTCTGAAAAATACTCTTGGAGATGTCTTATCTCTTGTGCTAGATCTCAAGCATTACTTAGTAGTTACTAGGTGGGACTGGGGCTGATCTACACAAAACCCAGCTTTGAGGCTTTTTCTCTGCCTTTGATTCCCTGGCAACCTTTCCCACTTTGCAGAAAATTAGTGCCCTGGCTTTCCTTCACCAGGCAGGGAAAAGCCCTGCTCCCCCTCAAAGCCTGAAAGCCAGACTCTTGAGTGAGGCTGTGTTGCCATCAGGCTCACCTTTGCAGTATATTTTTCTTTGTAGAGCATGAGGAGTGGCTCCTTCCTGCAGCTTGTTCTTCTAGTCTGAAATTCTGTTCATTACAGACACCCCTCCCCTCTTTCTTTCCCCACAGCTACAGTTGCTAAAGTGATTGACAAATTTGAGGATGAAACTGCAGATGACATTTTCCCTGTTGGTAATATAAGGAAAAAAGCTTCAGCCTCTCTCTTGGAAGCTGATAAAAGGTACAGCGGAAAAGCTACATCTCGCAAAGCCTTGCAAGAAGAACTCTGGGGAGATGCTCTGTCTGAAGAAGGATCAGGTGAGCAATCTCACTTCTCTCCCTGTTTCACTGACTCTTCAGAGTTTGATGTTAGCATGTTAACTGAGCTAGTGCCATGGGAACTGAGATGACAAACTTTAGGTCCCTGCTGCAGGGCAATAATCTATTAAGTTGGACATCTTCTTGAAGCACTTTCCTGAAATTCAGGCTGTATTTTTTGTCCTGAGGGAAGGGGAAATCCCAAAGAGGAGACCACTTCTACAGATTGAGCGAAGAGCGTGACCAGGTGTCAGGTGAAGTTCTGTGCACTGACTGAACATGGTGTGGAGGAGAAGCAGCAGCTCCCATTTTTAAGCCCATATATATTTCTGGGACTGCAGGTGTTCACAGATGGTCATTTAAAAAATGCATATAGCAAATTCTGGTCACCTTGCTTGCTTATCATGTCGTTGTTTCGTGGAAATGGTAAGCCAGGGATTACTAATCATTGCTGCAGAAAATGTAAGCTGAGATCTTTTGTGGCCATGGCTATGTGCTTCCATTATTTAGCCAAAGCAGAGAGTAACGCCATACACAGGTACAATGGAGTTTGGAGCTCAGATAGCCCAGACCTGTAGCTATGGGTGATGCATACTGCAAAGTGGCACACTCTGATGGTGAGTAAATAACTTATTTCTCTTTTAATTCCTAGCTGATGAGGCATTAGATGAATGGTACAGCGGCAGTGAAGATGCAGAAGAGAGGGGCAGCCTGGGCAGTGAAACAGAGGAGAAGTCCGGCAGTGCTGGCAGTGACCAGGAGGATGACCTGGAAGAGGATGAAGAGACAGAGCCATCGGCCAAGGCACCAAAGTTCAGTTTCCAGAATGTCACAGACTTTGAGAAATTTGCAGAGGGGATGGATGATGTAGGAAGCAGTGAAGGGGAGGATGAAGATGATGCCAGCATGGAAGAAGGAAGTGATGAGGAGGAATCTGGGAGTGAAAGCCACAACAATGTAAAGGAAACCAAAGACGGCGAAGATGATGGGGGAGTGATGACATTCTCAAAAGGACAAGAAGCTGAAGAAGTAGAAAAAGGAAAAGCTGTGAGGAACCAGCTAGGTTTGTGCATGTTTGCTTTGTGTTTTGACAAGACATTCACCTTGCTGACACGTAGAGACTGGCCGTGTTAGGAACCACTTCACCGTGTTAACTTGCTGTTAGCGTACTGGGTCGTGTGCTGCAGCAGCCCCAGTGATTTGCAAATGTTCTGCCAAATCTGCCATGCAAACTGGCATCGCTGCTGGTACAAAATCTCATGCTATGAAGTGTATTTATCCACTGGCTTAATTGAACCGCTGCTGAGTATGCTTGTAGTACTGGCAGTGCTGTGCAGTGATGCTGATAGCACTTCTCTTTCTTTTCCAGATGGAATACTGAATGCAGTTTCTTCTTGTCTGTCCTATTAAACTATGAAAGTTGCGTTTGCAAAATGTCCTTTTAAACAGTAAAGCGAAGGGGTGGGGTTTTTTCTGTGTGAGAGAATTGCAGTCAGGATCTTAGGATGGGATGTGGTTTTGTCCAGAGACACCTTGTGGTACCCGTTTAGTGCTGAGTCAGTGAATGCAGAGATTTGCCCTAACCAGGAGTACTGCAGCACGAAGGAGGGAGCCTGTGCTGTTAAATCAGCAGCTCCTCATGAGGAGCAAGTGCTGTGGCTTACTAAAATTGTTTTATTTTCTCTTTTTTATGAAGCACTGTGGGATCAGCTACTGGAAGGGAGAATCAAGATGCAGAAGGCACTCATGACAGCCAACCGGCTTCCACAGCCAGACACTTACCCAACCTTCAGAAAGGAAGGGGGACAAGAATTCGACAATGCTGTCGAGAACTGTAAGAATTCTTCAATCTTTCTACTTTGGGTTAACTCTGCTGTAGCCGGTATGTCTTGCCTGTGCGGGGAAGTGTTAATGGAAGGTGAGGGCTTTGAGTTGGATGTGTCTGTAGCATTAGCTGTTGGTTTGTATGGTCTTTGTCATTAATGAGGTACCGTGCAAACAGAAACCAAAAAGTGTTTCCTACCCCAGACAAAGAAGAAGTCTCCTGTCACCCACATAAGTTTGTGCCTGGTTGATAATGTTGGAAAGCTTCAGCTCAGGTCCCACTGCTGTTACTAGTTCACAGGGGGCTTGAAGTTTGCCCATCAAATCTCAGTTTCATCCTGGATCTTAGGAATAGTTGGCTTGGTTATGCTGTTCAGTGCGGAGTTGGGATGCTGCTTTGTGCAGAGACACCTTGTGGTACCGGTTTTGTGCTTGGTCAGTGAATGCAGAGATTTGCCCTAAGCAGGAGCACAAAGGAGAAGCCCTGTGCTGTTAAGTCAGCAGCAAGTATCTTTTCAGCTTGTTCATCTGTTTATTTCTTAGGATTGCTATAAATGATCTGATGAGATTTGTAGTAGATTCTACAGTATGGCATATATAATGTGCATGCAACGTACTCAACATCGGTGTGTGTGGATCTATTTAATTTTTAGAATCAAACACCTTTTTTACTGGCCTTAAGGGAGGTAAAATGTCTGGTATGCTATCCTTAGCCATACATATAAACTGCTGCAAGTTTGTTGTTTTCTGTCAAAAATCATACAGGTGATGATGGTTACACACAGGTTGTTCTTTTGTGCCCACTGATCCCACTAGTCAGAAATCAATGAACTTCACAGGATATTCTTCCAGTGACTTTGAATAATAAGAATAAGCCCGGTGGCATTTTGAAGCTTGCCAGGTTGGGTATCCCTTTCACTTCCATTTCTTCTTTCCCAATCTTGAGGTACTGCTCACTTTCAGGAGGGCTTCAGCTCCATAGGTGAGCAGCCTGTGGAGGATCCCCAGAAGTCCCCGTACGTGTGCCAGGCAGTTGGAAAGCTGCAGCGGTGTACGCAGCCTTCGGAGATTTCATCCAGACCCCTGCTTTGCGGTGGTCCATGGAGCTACACCGCGTGCAGGCGCCTGTGTGCTGGAGTGGTCCCTGCGCATGGAGAAATTTTGGCCTGGGCTGGCACAAGTCATCTTAAAACTGGGTTAGGAGCTTTCGCCATCATCAGACCTGACCCTGAACCTTGCCCTCCACCAGGTTTTGACCGTCATCGTAACGGCTCACACCTGGTCTGAGCAGGGTCGCCAACCGGCTTCTCTGGAGGTGCCGCAGGTGAGATGCTTTATAATTTAAAGTTAGCTCTGCTGCTTTAAATGAAGTGATTAAGGAAAAAAAGGCGAACTCCCAACAATACTAAGCTGACCTTTCAGCGAAGTACACGGTATTAATGCATTTAATGAGATGCATTACAAACTGCAGCGAGCACCGTGTTTCATTACAGGTCTCAAATGCGATATCATTAAAGACCTTTAACAGAAACAATGGTTGACATTTTGATATTTCCCATAAGCAAAATACATCCAAGAACATGGACTGTACACAGAGCGGCAGAGGCTGATCTTCCCATTGTCCGGAACACTGCAGGAAAATCCACTGTTAATAGCTGCTGAGTGATTCCCTCCCCACCCGCCTCTCATCGTCTGGGCAGGGAAGCTGCGGTGGCATGCGCTGATGTTCCCGATAGCCTGGCTCCGTGTGCTGTGTTTCATCTGTGGAGACAGAAAGAAAATAAAGCTGGAGTGGCCTGAGCACAGTTAGCAGAGGCGGCGCTCAGACTGACAGGCGGGGAGTGATGAATTTAGGAACATGCTGCTGCGCCTACACTTGTTGAGCGTTTTCTGGTGTTCTCTGGGGGATCAAATTTATATTCCTTTTTTTTATTTCTATTTTTTAAAATACAATCTGTTTGCACAGTAGAGTAGGTAACAATAAATAGTCATTTTTGATGAGCTACACTATTGTCTGGTGCAGCTGTCTCTCGCTGCCCTGCAAAGGGGCTCTTGCCGAGAGCTTTACCCCATGGGCACCCTGAGCTGTGTCACATCCTCAGTCCCGGAGCTGCTGCCTGGGTAGCGGGGCTGTGACCCATCGGTTCAGGAGGTGACACCAAGTCCTTTCTGAAAATATACATGGTCATGTATTTAAGGTTCTTTCATGAATTGATGTGCCTTGATTTCTGAGGGGGAGAAAAATCTCGCTTATTGTAAATCATCTTCTAAGAAAACTCCTGATTTTTAGCTGATCAAGTGGTTTAGTGGCTTCTATAAAAATAAGCTTTTTTACTCAATTCTGAGTGGTGGTGTGGTGGGCTGGGTAAGCACTTCTGGGCTCCTGAGTTCTCATCCCGGTTGTATTACCAGCTTGTGGGTAGGATCCCACTCCCCAAACAGGAAGATCAGAAGCACTGTGCGTGAGTAAGTTTAGAGGTGAGTGGAAGACAGTAAATACCAAATGTTGAGGTGGTTCCGTTGTACGTGATGTGCTTTGGTCTTGGACAGGATTTGGGATAATCATGACATTGGCTCTGTGGATGATACTCTCAGGGAAGCCTCAGCACTTCTTCCAAATCCACAGAACAGAGTCGGCATGCTTTCATCGTCTTCATTGAACGGGAGGAGACAGTTTGGTGTTCAAGTCGCACAAAGCAGTTGGTGCCAAAAATCCAGACTCAGGGGTGCAGAGAGGTCTCGGCACCCAGCTCTCTCTGAGGTCCTGGACAAGTCTCTCACATCTCCAGGAAAGCTGCCCCGGGATGCTTTCAGGAGTTTATCCCAAGTCCTTCCATGGCTCATGAAATTTCTGCCCTGTGCTCCCAGGAAGGATGATTTTTTAGAAATGGAAACCAGTCCTTCCTGTGTTTGCCTCCTTGGTGTCTCCCACTTGGGACAAGCCTCTGTGCCGCTGGTGGTGGGGAAATTCCCCAGGGTTGGGGTGTAAATGTGTTAAAGGGTAGACAGCAATGTTCTGTACATTTGGAGTTTTAAAGCCAAATCTGAGCAAAAATGGTAAACTCATGCTTGTTTTCCAAATTTGGAGATTGGAGGTTACAAAACTTCAAATGCTTTATTTATTATTTTCGTAATCTTTTATGAAATTTTATTTTTTTAAAAAATGGTACAACATGCCTTGGACAGTCTTGGATTCCTGAGATCTCAGGTTCTGGTGGATGATTTACTGCAAAATTGCTTATAAATTGAAGTAGAAAATGTTTTGCAGACCTGGCAGCTTTCAGGCTTCACACCCATTTGTCACCCAGCATTTCCCTTTGTGTATAGAACAAGAATTAATTAGGCTGCACTGCAGGAAAAGTTTATGGCCATAATTTATATAGGATGAATTCCCGTTTAAAGAGACAGCATTGCTTTGTTTGCACTGTCTCACTTTTTCTCCCCCCCTCCCTTTTTTTTTTTTTTAAATCTTTAATTATATTCCAGATTTTTTTCTGTCACCCTTTTTACATACAAATTGGAGACCAAGCTGTGGTCATGGAGCTCCTGTTTATTCCTGTTTTGCATCTGTGGAGAAACTCTGAGTGGTGTTTAGTCCCGGAATCCTGGCGGCTGCGCTCTGGATGCGGTGCGGATGTTGGATGCGCCGCACACGTGAACTCCCACAGCCTGCGCTGCGAAGGTGCTGCTGCCTGCAGGGCTCTGGTTCTCCGAGATACATTTGTATTCCCCTGCACCCTACCTTCCAGGCTGGTCCGGGCTTGAGATGTTGCCTCTGTTTGGGGTCTTGCACGTTCAATTAATGTTTTTCGTAATCAATGCAAGTCAGAATTTGCAATCTGCTCCTGATTTGCACATTAAAGAGACCCATTAATTAACAATTCCAATCCCTGGCATGTTCCCGCAGGATCCTTGCATTATTTACATAGAAAAAGAGCGCAAGGTGCGAGTTGCTGTGCTGTGCCTCTGCGCGGGTTGCCTGCCCGCCATTCAGCTTTCTGTGGATGTCTTCAACGGGGAGGAAGGTTAGAAGTGGATCTCATGAAAATGTCACCAAATCGGGTTGCCTGCCCACCATTCAGCTTTCGGTGGATGTTTTCAAGGGGGAGGAAGGTCAGAAGTGGATCTCATGAAAATGTCACCAAAAATTACCTCGAGGGCAAGAAAGAGGCAAAGAAGCAATACTAGTGAAGCCACAACCAGTGTCAGGAATTAAACAGGTCCTGGCTTTGGGGCTTGTTCAGTTAAATCTTGATTCAGCGACAAAAAACCCCACAGCTAATTGAGGGGCAGGGGGGCAACGAGAGCTTTAAGAAATTATTTCTGTCAGTCAACAGAGGCTAGAAGCTGTTGTCGGGTGTGCCCTGGGTTGCTGTTCTTGCTATTTTAATGATTTTCTCTTTACAGTTCTTGTTAAAAATACTGAGCTGGAATGTTTCCGTGACTCGTAGTTAGACAGCGGTACTTCATGGTTCACAAGCAGAGCTGGGGATTCCAGCTTTTAGATGGTACAATGTGTTATTTTCTAGTTTTGGTTGGCGAGTTGAGCAGTTCCAAACACCCAGGAACCCAGGTGAGTTTGCAGAAGGCAGGGTGCTGATGGGAGCTGCGGGCTGTGAAGGGAGGAGTGGCTCGGGGTGCTTTCATATGGATGTGCCTTCACGTTGCACAAATACAAACTACTGGCTGAATTTTTGTGGGTTTTATTTGCTTTGATTCCATCTGTCAGTAGACTAAGAGAAAATACTGGAATCCCACATCTCTGTTCTTTGTTATAAGCTCAGGATAAGTTGTTTTGGAGAAACGGAGGAAATACCGGTCGTGGTGAAGGGTAGACGTGCAGGGTGGGTGAGGATGGATCTGCTCACTGAAGGACCAAAAGTGGGGACAACAAATATTAACTGTTACTTGCACTTTGGAGAGATGTGGAGAAGTGACAGAAAGGCTTATGATCAGTAGGAAAATAAGCGTGAATGAAGTGAATCAGATTAAAAAAATCTGATGAAATGCTCCACGTGCTTGCGAGGGCGTTATCCCCAAGCCCTGGGGATGTGCCTGGGGCTGCACTGCTTGCTGCCTTCTGGGGAAGGGAGGTGTTGACTTTTTGTTCCTAAAATGTTTAGTCCCGTCCAAACACTTGGACTGACCCAGAAATGTCTGTTTGTGGGGTGGAAATGGGTGCGTTTGCAGGGGGTGTGCTGGTAGAGGACTGCGCCCACCCGGAGCGGTACGGACCTTTGCCGTAACGCCGAGTTGGGCTCTCGGTGCGCCGGGTCGGTTAACTGTTCCCGTGACAAACATCTGCGGCTTGTGACTAAACAGCAGGTTTGTGGACAAGGCCTCTTAGGAAAGTGATTAAGAATCCCGCTTGCCTTTGTTGCCGGCAGGAGAGCTCCAGAGGTGCCATGTGTTCCTGGTTTTACATCCTTGCATACTAAACATTCCTGTCTGAACGCTTCACTCTGAATATCTTTATTTTCTTCTGGGTTAGTTCTGTAATATTTTGCTGAAAAGGCACTCAAGATAGAGGGAAGGATTCTGTTTAGCATCTGTTCAGTGTGTGTTTGTTTGTATGTTCTCGGTGTCTTTTATTAGAGGATTTTTTATGGGTTCTGTTACTCTGATTCCTGATATTAAAAAAAAAAACAACAAAATTACATTCTATGCAACATCCAGGTAAGACGTGTCGAAGAAGCTGATGGAGCCTGGACTAACTTTGGATGAGATCGAGTCCGCTTTAGGTCCCGGAGAACCTGTTCCACTTGCTGTGGTTGGGGATGTGTGGGCGAGGCGTGCTCCTCCCCAGCTGTGCAGCGGGCTCGGCACCTGGCTGGCGTCTCTCACATCTGCTCGGAGAAAAGCTGTCGGGTGAAACGTGCTTCATTGACACAGGCTTGGGGTTTGCAGAGAAGCCTGCAGGAATCAGCTGCCAGTAGTTCGAGTTGTAGTTTTGTTATCGTCTCTATTCGTGGATCACTTTTAAAACTCCACCGTATCCACCCGCCTGGAGATGCTGATGCATTAACGCAGAGCAGGGTGGGTGTCACGGGGGAGCGGGGGAGGAACCGAGGCACAGGCAGATTACACAGTTTCCAGAGGCATAGAGCAGTTACAGGATTAATTGGTGCTAGGCAAGATCATGGACTTAAATATATTCTTGCTTTGAAGATTTTACTGGGAGCCTGCACGAATGTGTGACAGCAGAACTGGGTTTCAAGCCTGAGTGTAAATTATTGTGATCAGATCTAGCCCACTTAAAACTGGTAGTTCATTTTAATTGGATTGTATTAGTCTAGACACTTTATGAATACAAAAAACATCCTTCTTGTCAATTCATGCAGGGCTGAATTTGGTTTAAATGGATGTGGAGGCAGGTGTCCCCAGATTTCACCTTTCCTCTCTGATCTAATGAAGAATCTGTTCAACTCTTTTTGGGACTGAGCCAAAGCCTGTTGACATTAATGAAGACTTTTCTCTCGACTAAACTAAATGAGTGAATGAGACTCTCTTTTTTTAAAAAAAAATTTGTTGTAATGATCCTGTGCTGTGGAGAGCTTTGGTAAGAGCTGGGGCTGGTGAGGATGGCAAGCTCCCGGGCTCACGGGTGGCTGTTCTGCGTGAGTGCCAGCGCGTGAGAGGGAAGAGATGCGAAGTGAGAAGCTTTAGACAGAGGCACAGGGCTCGGTTTTGGAGCTCTGCTGTTGTTTGTGTTTAGTGGGTAGTGGGGGGTGTAAGGTTTTGTGTGTGTGCAGAATTTGGGCTGTGCGAGGTACCAGGAAAGTACATTGTGGCCTGTCGTTGGTGGCTGTGATTTGTTCAGAAATACTGTGTAGAAGGCAGTGGAGAAGTGCAGAATATTTATTTAACTTGCAGTTTGGGGCTTTTTACAGAAAAAAACCCGCTCTTGCCCTTCCTCACTGAGTGCCAAGGCTTTTAGCTTGTGGTGTTTAGTCTTTCTGAGCAGAATTTTTGTCTGCTTCTCTTGTGTAGATGTGGTAAAATGGAAACGCTCCCATTTTCTAGGTTACCTCCAGAGCCATATGTGTTGGACAGTTGACATTCGAGGTTTATTTTAAAGCTGTCTTAAATTCCAGTGCAAGAAATGCTCAGAGTCCGGAGTTGTTGACCTGATAGACCCGAACTCCAGGCCGTGGGATTACACCACAGTTGAAGCACATGGTATAGGTTTGCCTGCACTTGAGTTTCCCAAGATAATTAATAGGTAATTAAATTGAGTTTAGCTAGATACTTGTGCATGTTAGTCTGTATACTCCACAAACAAGATGCAGGGAAACAAAGGCTTGCACGAGTCCAGACAAGCACGTGCAAATGTCAGCTAACTGGGATTAATTGGCAATTGGTTACCTTGAGATGGAAACTCAGTGCTTGTCATGATAAATGTAATTAATGGCCTGGTATTATATGGGGAGGTCAGTCTGGATGGGCTAATGTTCCCTTCTGGCCTTAATATCTGGGTAACTATGAAATTTCACATTTCATCTTCCTTTCTCATTCGTGCATGTGTACTTGGGGATCCTTGCCTGGCAGAGATGGGAATGCATGCTGTCAGCTTCTTTACATGTACAGTAATGTAAAACATCAGTTTTTATAAATCTCATTTTTACAAGCCCCGTCCCCTCCCTGGTTTGGGCTGATATCGAAAGATGACAGTTGAGGCGAATCAGCAGAGCATGAACTTCATGGAAGGGTTTCTCTTTCTCTCCCTTCTCAGCTTTCCCCCTCCCCCAGTCCCCACTAATTAAACCCTTCAATACCCAGCCTTTTATTCCATTGTTGCGTCTAGTTATTTTCTTTACTTTTAGCAAACTCATCTATGTCTGATCCTGTTGTCCTTACTGTCAAATGCGGTAATATTAGAGTGGAAGGGCTAAATGGAGTCCGTTCTGTAACTCTTTGGGAGTCAGCTGAGCTGCCTGTGTGAAAGGGGTTTGCAGCGTTGGCTTCTTTGTGCTGCAGGAATACAATTTTCCCCTCTGCAGAGGCTTTTGCATCATTTGCATTCCAATGGAACCAGCAAATTGGGCCTTCGGTGTGGAGCAGACCTTTTTATTGCAATCAGCAGAAAAGTCGCCCTCTTTCTTACTATCGTTTGATAAAATTCCACCAACTCAGTGTTTTGGGAAGCGTGAAGGGAGTGTTACTTCTGTAACTTCCTAAAATAACCTGGACAGATTCACCCGTGCTTTGTGCTAGGATTCAGCTGAAGTCCGTGAGAAAGGCGTACGTAACTGCATCATCTCTGAAAAATCAGATGGCTGGCAGCTGCCCGAGGCGTGCAGCCAGCCTGTAATTTAGTCTGGGCTGGCTCTTGTGGCTCCTGCCTGAGACCTACCAGGAGCCTTTTATGTCTGCACCGTCTTGGCTTTAGGGCACCAGGGCATGCAGGGGTGCAGCTCTGAAGATAGCAAACGTCCTGCCTGCACCATCCTGTTCCTCCTGCCGTTGGTCACGCAGCGGGAATTACAGAAAAGCTCTTGTCCAAAGCCCCGGGTTTGGGATGCGATACCCGGAGCCGTTCCCTCCGCCTTTTCCTGGCTGCTAACGCTGCTCTGCTGTTGGGAATATAGAGCGAGCTCCAAAAGTAATACTGACAGACTTCAGAATTATGATACACTGGAGCTCTGGTGTAATTCTTTGTTGAAGAAGTTAGAGGCCTAAAATGTTAAGGCTTATTGTTATTCTGAGTTGATAATCTCTGCCTTGCTTTAATAATTTTTCCTCATGCCTGGATAGCCTGCGAGTTGCACAATAATCACTCACACAGCTTTGTAATCAATGCCCAAAGTAATAGGATTCCGCTGGCCAACGGCAATTAATAAATTTGTGTCTTTTTTAAAACACTAGCAAGTCGGGCCTGAAATACGACTGACTGGCTTTCCTCATTTGCATATTTATTGCAGTGGAAAAATTCTTGCCGAATGATTGATGTTGAGCCTGCCTCTTGAATTCCAAACAGCACATTATTATGAAATGAAAAATGCTGGCCATACAGTTGATTAAAGTT